GGTGATCAAGTATTGAAAGGGGCTGCCCAGGGAGGTGGTGGAGTCACCGTTCCTGGAGGTGTTTAAGGAAAGGTGGGATGTGGCACTCAGTGCTCTGGCCTGGGTGACAAGGTGGGGATCAGTCACAGGTTGGACTCGATGATCTTGGAGGTCTTTCCCAACCTGTGATCTACAGTGCAGTCCTTGGCTGACCCCACACAGAACCCCTTAACAATCCAAACAGAACAGAAAGGTAGGAAAGAAAACACACTTTTTTTTTTTTCCAAAATATAACTTTAATATATATATGCATATATACACACACACCACACACTCACTATATAGAAGCTGAAAGAATGCAAAACAGGGATGTCCCACAAACTGTTTCAGGTGTGCACAGCATATGGGTTTCCAAAAACCCCCAGCAGCTCCGTTCCTTCCTTACCTGCGCCGGGTTTCCATGTTTCACACCAAACCACAACCCAGAGCTCACGGCACCGAGCAACATCACAGTCAAAGGAGTAAAGGAAAATAAAGATGAAATATTTCTCAACTCAGTCCAGTGTCAAAAAAAAAAAAAAAGCTTAAAAATCTAAATGTACAAATTCAGCCTTAAAATGGTTTAGTGCAAATATGAAAATTAACAGCATATTTTTAAGGTATTTAAATAAGCTTTAATATAACTCTAGTGCTTCATTCCTATACATGTTTTCCCATCAACAGATGCGACAGCACGGAAGCATTTCCTGTTACGGGCGGGACAAACCCAGAACCTGGGAAAAAACAGCATAAAGTCACTTGTTAAATCTTTTATTTACCTTCGTAAAGTTTGTTAAAAAGGGACAGGGGTTATTTATTAGTGGAGGAGCAAAAATTTATCCATTCACTGCCTGTGAGGCGGACGGGCAGGGGGAGCGGGAGGGGCAGAACCGCTGTCCCTTTCCCTGACATTCAGCACACGCAGCTGCTGGTGGTTCCAAAGGTCCGTGGGGGGCACGGGGCCGGTCCCTCCCTTGCCATCAGAAGGTCTCGTCGTCGTTGCACTCGGCCGTCCAGTGCCCGAACACCTCGCAGGTGTCGCAGTAGGGCCGCTCCTCCCGCCGGCTGCCGTGGTGAGCCGAGTGCGGCGGCTCCTCCAGCGCCTGCGCCTGCGTCGGACAGTCCTCGGTGTCGTGCAGGTCGAAGCAGCCGCAGATGTCGCAGAACAGGCGCGGTTTCTTCTTGGACAGGCTCTCCTCCTCACTGCAAGGGCAGCACAGGTCAGGGGGACACGGTTCCTTCACAGGGGAGCGAGGCCTGTGGCCCTGCCCTGCACTGTGAGCTCTGTGATTACTGAGACTGAGGAACCGTCACAGAGCTCAACAAGCAGCAGTTACAAACCCCTCGGGAAGATCTCAGCTCCTCCACCACCCTGCAGTGCCCCCACAATCCCCTACACTGTAATATTTACTACACAACACACTGTTTGTGCAAAAATACAGACATTTAAAAGAAACACATGTAAACTAGTTTCTCTTTTCCCTGGAGGGATCTGAAGTTACAATATATCAAATAGCTCTTAGTTCTGTTTCTCTGCACTATTCTATTTAGTTCTATTTCTCTCCCCATCCCAACACAGCTACGGCCCCTTGAGAGCAACGACCCTTCTCCTGCACTTGGGAAGGGCAGATCCATCAAGCCTGACAACAAACATGTCACAGTAAGTGAATGTTTGTGGTCCATAACCACAGAGAATCATTTGCACCACCAGGAACATCCCAGTGTAAAAAGAAGGCTGGATTCAACCACTGAACTCCAGAGAAATCTCCATCTGTCCCTCCTCATGGCTGAGATCAGGCTGGTGCATTGTGCAGATCCCGACCCGCTGCCACCAACAGTTCCCAAAACATGAGCCCAGGTTTCCCTTGGGATTTGTACCTGTCATAGTTATTTATCTCCTCGTCGTTGCCATTGAGGGCAGCTTCACACATTCTTTGTATCTTCAAGTTCAGTTCCTCGTTTCGCCTTTGTAGATCCACTATCACTGAATTCAGGAAGTCGATCTGGGAGAGCCAAGGACAAGGGCAGTCAGAGGAGCAGGGGGATGGCACCTCCCACAGCCCCAGCCCAGAGCTCAGCACTGCTGAATGTAACCAAGGAGCACTTGGCAAATCAACAGGGAATGAAATAAAGGAAGCCAAGAAGTGGAACCAACCTCGCCCTGGTGCAAGGAAGGGTTGCCATCAGCAGGTGAATTCAGGGAGGCAGAAAACCAGAAAAAGATTGGTGGTTAGTGCGTGTTCATGACACCTCCTATCACTGCACAGCTAGGAAGGACATTTAATCACTGGGACTGACACTGGTGATCTAATATAATGAGCAGAAGGTGATTCTATTCTAACCATCTTTCCTAGGCATTTGTTGGCACAGGCCTCTGTGATACAGCAGCACTTCACGTGGTCACTATGACTATCACACTCTGAATCACATTTCTCCTGGTCCCAGCACGTGCCAACTGAGCACCTTCCCTCTCTATTGTGGCCAACTCTCGTTCTGAGTCAAGTTCTGCAGTTGGGAACAAGCCAAGGCCAACATTTTCAACTGCAGCAGCTTAGAAGTAGCTCAGGAAGCCCATTTCTCCAATTTGGCAAGCACCAGATTCAGGTGGGCCATGCCTTTTGCTCATTCACATCCAAGAAACCCTTGGAAAGAAGGCCAGGGAGCAGTGACTTTGCTCTGCTGGGCTGTACCTCACTGACAGGTCAGCCCTTGCCACCCTTGATTCCCTGCTTCCTCACATTCCCATAATCTGAACTGGTTCTCCAGTACCACTCATCCCTTCATTCTTAATATTTACTGTCACTTCAGAAGCTGAAGGCTACAAGACAAATCTGCCCATTAAAATCCCGACTGACAAAACCTGATAGGGACTGTCTTTGGATTTCCCTCCCCTGTGGCCCCACTGCTGGTTTAGCATCTCATGTCCACATCCAGTACCTGCTTCTCTCTTGCAATCTCCTCCTGAAGCAGATTCGCAGCGTCCCCTTTAAAGAAAAGAAACCAAAGCAGGTGTAATGTGACACAGGGGGTGGCTCAGGCAGACACTGAAACAGTGTCACAGTCTCTGGTCTCAACCTTCCAGCTGAAGGCACAGACAGTGGGGCAGGTTTTGCTTTACCTGAGGAGCTCGTTACAGTTAAAGGCTGCTCGTTGTTTTCCTTGAGTTTTTGCTCCAAGTTCTTCACCTTTTCCTCAAGTTTCAGTTTGTCAGACTCCAGGGACTTCACCACTGACTGCAGGGTTTTTGCAGAGGCGTTTTCTCCGCGGAGCACCGTGATCTGCAAGAGTTATGTGAGGGTTTGGGCCTTCCAGCACGAAGGCAGAGCACTAAGACCACATCCCTCCCAGCCAGGGCTAAAGAGCACCAAAAACATGTGCCAGGAGTCACCTAACTCAGCACAGGTATCCAAAGATTTAATGCTAAGGTTTAACTGTGCCACTTTAAAGAACAATCAGGCAGCACACAAAGCCTCTGCCTGTAACTTAATCAAAATTAGGAACCATTCACTATTCCCCATTTACCTCATGTCTGAGTTTTTCCAGTTCCTCATCTTTTTGTGTGATCAAGGCACTAGTAACATTGATGGATTTCTGCAAGGATGCTCTCTCTTCATCAATTTCTTTTTTTAAAGTTGATTCTCTAAAAGAAAACCAAATACAACCAGAAATCATCTAATGAATGGATAACTGCAGTGGCCTAAAGTAGTTTTATTTAATTTCAAGTATTAAACTACTGTAAGAAGTGGTTCTTAAAAAAACAAATTACAATTCTGTACTTGACTAGGTTTTAAATATGTATAAACATTTCAGATGTTACAACTGTGGAAACAAAGCAAAAACTTTACCTAGGTAGTACATGCCAGAATCTGCATAGCACCGTATCCATTTGAATTTAAAGGAGCAAGTTAACAGACTGGGGAGATACAGGATAAACAAACATGTTGCACAATGTTCCACAAAACCTGACTTGAGAGTTTTGTTACTTCTTGAAAATTATTAACAAGCAACAAAACAGGCATGCAAAGCTCATTGTACAGGTTGTCATGCAAAGCATGGATGAGGCTGGAAATATCAGCTGGTCCTCACTAATTTCTGTGACATCATCATTTCCTGCACACACACTTGGAGAGTTTCTGGGCCTTTAACAACAGTTTCAGCCGGAAACCACACGGGACTTGTTTGACTTCGTGGGCTAAGGGTTAAAAAGAAATTTTCCAAAGCAGGCACAACCCCCTTCTGTGTACATATGTCCAGTTTTCCCAACCTTTTCCATGGATCTAATAGAGATATGACTTCTGCCTAGAATTCCTGCCTCAAGGCACCATAGCTGTGACATCCCCACACTGGTGCAAGTGAGTCTTCCTGACACTACACAGGGATGAGTTATTGTCCTCTGACGTGAGGAGTATCACTACAAAACTCCTTACAAGCTGAAAGGTTTTGGTTAAAAAAGCCCCCCAAAAGTTCCTTTAAACACTACATTTACTTTTCTCCAGGAAAAACTTGCTTTCCAGCACAGCCAGCAGTGCCCCAGCTGGCTGCCAGCTCTCCAAGCTCCTGCAGGGTGCAGGGATCCCAAACCACACTGCTCTCTCCAGGACTGCCCCAGGGGTCAGGATCCTGTGTGAGGATGCTCAGGGCACAGCTATCAAGTTCAAATGGCGAAGTTTTCATCTCTACAATATCTACAGTTAGTGAGAGCCACGATACCCAGACATGAAACACAACAAATCTCCCCCACTCGAGGGAAAGGGGAACTCAACAATGAGAGCACAATCAATGCAATTCCTTCATTGTTCAGATTGTACTCAGGAATGGAAGCAGCAAGTGGAGAATCTGGGGTTTAGAAAAGCTGAGGCAGTGAGGCAGCTACCAAACAGGAACCAGAGGGTTGATTTGGTTCTGGTTGTTTTGGTTTTGGAGTATTTTCACAATGAGAGAATCAATAGAAGCAGAAACACAACAACTTGCAGACTGAGCAATCTTGCCTTCAAATCCAAGTTATCATCCCATTAATAAAACCCAACAGGGCACTGGCATGAAACAGGTCCCCTTTGCCAACCCTGAGTCAGCAAAGCACTAAAGCACGACAGCCGTGGCCGTGTCCTTCAGCAGAATTCCAAACATGCTCCAGCCTAACCCCTGGTTTTCAGTGCTTTGCTGAGCTGGATCAAAGGCACGTGGTGCTGTGGGAAAGAATGTGCCACCAATGCAAGGGGTGCTGCTGACAGAGCAAGAGGTGCCCTCTCCGAGCCACAGAGCTGCAAATCCAGGATTTGCTGGGAAGTAAATTGTGAGTACGTCTGGGAAGCACATCTGTGAGTTACTGCTCACAAGCTCTGCTGTCCCCAAGACTTCTCCCGAGCTCCCCTGTGCTGAAGACACAGCTGTGGGAGGACAGATGGAAAGCCCAGTGACTCAGCTCCTGCTCAGGAGCCTGTGATTTAGCCAATGTTTCCACTTGGTCAGATCTTCATGGAGAGATCAGGACCAAACAGACGCTCTTTGCACAAATACGGATCATTCGCCATTTATCGGGCTTGGCTTCAGCACCACAGCCCTGAGAGGCTGAAAAAGGCAAACAGTTGGGAAGGAGAGAAAGAAGAGGTTTACAAACTCAATACAGGAGTCTCCAATACTAAAACACAAGGGGAGAGAAACGAGAGAAGAAAAGAGGAGAGAAAACAAGAGGGGAAAAAGGTCCCTGTGCTGGAGCTTCGGTTTTAACTTTCCCAGGACAGTGCTCCACTGCTCCAGAGGGAGACCCAAAAATTCTGGAACTGAAGAACCTACAACCAGAGTAGGTGGCTGGCACTACCCACTGATCCAGAAGTGTGGAGCACAGTCCACTTCCAGAGTCTCAGCTGGAAGTGCACGATGCTGGAAGCACCACGTGCAGTGGGAGTCACAGAGACACTGAATGTAAGGAGCAGATGCTGATTGTGAAATAACTGAGCTCGCAAAGAAAACCTTGTGGAAACTTTATTTTATTAGAAAAAAAATTGATTTGGGGAACTTAAATTTTTTTTCTGCCAGTTCAATTCCAAACCATCCTCTTGCCAGCCCAGAGGTAAAGAAAACCAATAAACATGACTTTTTTGTTGCAGATGCCATTTTAAAACTGCACTTTTTTGAGGAGGTTAAACCATGTTCTGAGCAGTGTGTGGAAGTCGTGGGGGAGAGGGTTCGGTTTTGTTTAAACATTAAAAAGGTCACCCAGATTCTTCCCTTACTACAAAAATAAGAAATTCTAAGAATGAAGCAAATACCTTAAAGTGCTACTGGGTAAGCTTTAAAAATGCAAGATAACAAGAACCACATGTTAGAAACATGGAGTAGAAATGCAAAATACTGTAAGGAAGAATGAAATTTGCACCAAGGGGCTTTTTTGTTTTGGTAAAAAATATATAGACTTTTTTTTTTCATAATACATATATATATATATATATAGAGCTGAGTGTTTTACAAAACAAAAGCAAGACACCAAGGGACAAAGGCAGCCAAAATATGTACAACAACTTTACTTAAAAAAAATTAAAATTATTTATTGTAACGTGGATAGACTTTCTTGAGTCTTACCATTAAAGACACACAGATATAGCAAGGGAAGCAAGGGCAGGAAAGGGAAGAGAGAGGAATGAGATGAGTATCGATAAATAGCGAAGCTCAAAGACAGTCAGACATCAACCCACAGTGAGCCCAACAGCTGAGTAACACAGAACCCCCTCAGAGCCACAAACAACACACTCCTGTCACTCCCAGCTGGGCTATTCCATGTAAGGAGATGCCAAAATAGGGGAAGAGAATTCCTGGGGGTGGAAGGAAGGTGAGGAAACCACCACTAGAGATTTGACCTAACTGGAACACAAAGATGGCTCTGGTTCACCTCAAATTCTTCAGACACAAGGAGGAAATTATCACTCCTCTTGCCACCAACTTCAGTGGAATTTGGGAATTTAGAAAGTTTGTTCTCTATTTTTATTTAATTAGCTCTTTATTCAGCCTTTTTTTGTGAGCAACTGGTGCCATGTGCTGGCATGTTCTGAGTCCCAGTGCCTGCACTTGGAGGCTGTTCCTGTTCCTCATTTTACCCTTTATTGCAGTTTATTCACCACTGCTGAGCAATGTCACAAATTTGGGCATTTTGGTGTAACCCACTGAAGGTAAAATTCACTTCAATTATTTCATAACTGTCTGGATTATGTCAGGCAGCTGAGTAAAAAAAGGAGAAGGAAGATCAGAGCCACAGACCTTCCTTTTTAGAACTTACTAAAGAGTTTGTCTTTTAAAATGTCCTCTGTGAAACAGAACTGCTGGAAAGTACTGAAGGATTCTTGGTCCCCCCTCTGTCCTCCCTTTCCTCAAGTAACTTCCAGGAGTTACACTGTTTAGAACACACTTTAAAAAGTGTGGCTGGTGATGCAGCTCAGCAGGCTGGTGAAAGCTGGAGGCTCAGCTGTTCACTGGCCTCTCTGGGGTACAGCTGATCCAACTCTGACATTCCCTGGGGAAGCATCAGCTCGGGAAACACCCCCTGTGCCTGCTGTCCTTCAGAAGAGGGGGAGATACAACAGAGCACAACCCACCTCCCAAAGAACAATCAGGGAATAAAGAAGGGACGAGTGACACCACTGAGTAGCCAAGGATGTGCATAAATACCCAAGTACCGCTCACTGGTCTTTGTTGTGACCACTACAAATCCAGGAAATGTAACAGTTTGTTTTTCCTGGAACACTCGAGGTGTCGTGGGGAGCCCTGTTGTTTTTAAGGATTGATGTAACTACTTCTGAAAAGCCCCCATTTTCCCCAGGACACTGTGGCACTTGGCCACTGCACAGACAGTCAGTTTTGTGACTTGGGACTGTTCCCTGAACAGCAGCTTACAAAGGGATGCCCCAGTCACCCAGGACAAATCTCCTGGGATTTAAAAGCAGTGCTGAATGAACTGCAATAACCTCCTGCCACAATAAACTGCACAAAATCATGAGAGCAGCCAGGCAGTGCTGAGTAACTGCTGCTTTTCCTTCTTCTTCCCCTTTTCTTCTAATCAGCACCTCTGTATTTTGCCATTATTCCTTTAGAGCTCGACGACGTGTCAGAGCTGAAAACAAGCTTTTATCAGACTGGGGGACAATCCAACAGTGCAGAGCAGACTGAAACCAAACACTGAACTGGTCACTGCAGGTAAGAATTACCACAGTGGGGAGGTGTGGAACTAAAGGAAACATGGACAATTCCATCTCTAACCCAAAGTATGTGACAACCTCAGCACTCTAACCAGGACAGCACAGAACAGAACAGCTCTTGGTTTTGGTGTTACATTTTCTGTAGGACTGTGTGTTAAACACACACCAGCAAGAACAACTTACCTCTTTTTCATCTCTAATAACTGGTTATTGAGTACTGATCTCTCCTCTTCCAGCTAAAACACAAGTACAAACAGACTCCAGTTAATACACTAAGGATTGTTTCCTTAGTACAATATATCAGAGCAACATTATCATCATAAAACAAACATGGAAGAGGCTACAGAGCCCAAAAATCCTCAAAGTAACAGATTTTCTACAGGCACAGACATGCACCCAAACAGAAATTGTTCAGTGACCAAGAGTATCAGGTAGTGAGGGGCTAAGACTTTTAAATAAAAATAATTAAATAAAGTATTTCCACGTCCTGTGTACAGACCAGTGTGTGAGATCAGTGTTATGGGATATTTCCAGGCCCCCCACACACCAAAGAGAACCCTCTGTGTGCCTGGCCAGTATTGGGGAATTCCTGGATTTGCTGTTGTCCTGACCTGGATAATTGTACCCCTGATCTGTATTTGTTACTGCACTCTTATTTTATTTACAGCTAAACTATTGATCCCCAGAGCTGTTGGTGTTTGTTACCACCCTGTAACTCAGCAAGGCCACCCTTCAGCCCTCACAGCCAGCAAGGCCTTCAGCTGAAAATATTGTTGCTGCAGGTTCCTGGGATCCAAACTGCCCAGAAACAGAGACAACTGAAAAAATTAAGTACTTTTCAAGCCAAATAATTATTTTTTCACCACCTCCTCCTTTCTTCTTACTCAGTGGCCAAAGTCAGCCCTGAGAACTGTCGTCTGTAGCAGACATCCCCCAGCCTTGCCTTGAGAACAGTCTCTGGTGGGATTTCACAAGCTTTCAGGGTTCATCCACAAGGTCAGCAAGACATACATTTATAATGGAAACCCCAGAGCCCTGACAACAGCTCCTGGTCTCTCCCTGAGTGCCTTCTTTCAGCACTTTGCAGCTATTCAGATCGCAGGCACAGAAGGCGTTAAACCAGTTCCCATGAGCAGGCAGGTTGTCTCCAGCCTCCAGCTCTCAGCTAAATGCAGCTCTCTGAGAGAAACCCTCTCCTCCACATTTTCTGACAACTTACCTTCTCCTCTCCTGTGCTGCAGTGCTTTTAAACCTTCCAGCTTTGAGCTTAACTGGGATCATTTTGCTGGGCATAATCACCCAACTTTATTGATGCAAAAAAGAAATACCAGAAGGGTGTAGAGAGGCTTAATATAAAAAATTCTTAAAGCAGTCTCAAACCCCCTGGTTGAGTGGAGGCACGACTCTTGTGGGAGAAGGGGAGAAGGGACCCCCTTCTGTCTCCAGCCTTTCCCAGGATCCTCTCCCTGGCTCGTTTCCTCAGAGCAGACCCTGCACATCATTCATAAAACATGGATATTCCTACACTTTCTCCAATGAACTTCAAATGCCTGGGCAGGTCTGAGGCTCCCAAAATGCCACAACAAATAATTTGAAGCCAGAAAAGTTCCCTGAGCTCAGAATCTGCCTGAATGCGAATCTTTAATGAATTACAATCAGCTAATTATTTATGGATCAATACAGAAGAGCTGCTTTGGTGGGAGCCACTTTAACCTTTAGATGTCCAGATAAATCATTCATGCCACAGGATTCATTAATTTTGCACAGTGTGTCACATGCAGCCACACATTCTCTACCCCAGTTGACAACATACTTGCCAGAATTTATGTGGTTTCCATAGAGACGGCTCAAAATTCCCAAACCCATGTTTGCCCCTTTCTGATGCATTTTACAGGCACCTGCACAGACCCTGCACAGCCTGAGCTCTGCTGGGTTCTGCTTTCCTCCTCACTGCCCTCCCTTTGGGCCATCCTGCTGTGTCAAACCCTTCACTGCCACCACAGCCACTCCTCCAAATCCACTGGAGGATTTTTCATGGGAGCATTTTTCCTGCTCCCCACAGCCAGCCTGAACCCAGGGAGCCCAGAGCCTGTGGCCACTGTGCCTGAGCACGGCCTGACAGGAGGTGTTGGGATACCTGGGATACCAAAGGTCTCTCCCAGGCTTTTGGGAGGCCCTGCTGTTCACCAGACCTGAAGACACCACAGCCCAAATAGCACATTTGGGAAATGCAACAGGCAGCATTCCCATGTTCCCAAGATTCAGATTACAGCTTCCTCACAGATGAAGGCAAAGAAACTGTGTCTCCAAGCTCCAGCAGATCTTCCAGATCTCGGAGCCATCTATTCCCAGGCAGAACAGGCTGTGGTGCAACTGGACCGACACTATTCCAGTTTGCAAGGCGATGGATTCGTCCCTGTGCTTCCCAGATTACAGCTGTCTGTCCTGGCAGTGAGAGAAGGGGCCCTGCTGACAGATCCATAGCCAGCAGGATGCACACAGCAGGATGCTGGAGGTCAGGAAAGCAGGGAGGTCCCAGACTGAGCTGCCAGCCCATGGCTTTGGGGCGGAGGGATCCCTTCCCTCAGGGCTTTCTGTGCGTCAAAATGCTCACAGATTTGACCAGTGCTGCCGAATCCTTTCCAAGTTACAACTCTCCCTGAAAATACCAGGTTGCCTCAAGGATTCTGAAATAATTTAGGAAAGCCTGTGGGAGTGGGGAGCAGCTCCCACGGGCTGTTTAGGACCTTTTCTTACCACCCCACTACTCAGATGCAGAGTGAGTCAGTGCTGAGCCCACACGTCTGGGACTCTGCTCATCATCTCCAAAGGCTCCTGAGGATCAAGGAGCCTGAGCTTTACTCCTGTCAGCAGCTCAAAGGATTTAGGAACCGGCCAGAGCTGTAGTCACTGATCCTCAGTACTTCCAACCAGGACTCCTGGGGGAAAAATCAGCCTCTTGGTTTCAAAAAATGAAGACTGTTGCAGGATCCCCCTCCTATGCACAGGTGCTATCTCAGAAAGGCAGTACACAAACCCCTGCCTTCCATGTTCTTCCTTTTGGGCAAGATCTCCCCAAGATTCCTTCAAGGTGTGCCTGTCACTGGAACTGCTGCACAAGGATTAAACCCACCACAGTAGTGGCTGTAAATCTGGGGTTTTTTTGGCAAGTACCAGTGACCCAAGTTGGGTAACTAAGCCCGTACTTCAAGATTCCAACAACATGTTCAACATATAATAGCAAAAAATAAAAATATAAATTTAAGAGAGTCTGTTTCTCCCCATAAACTGCCACCAGAAAAGGATTTACATGGATTCCAGTCCCCCAGCACCCCTGCCCGGCTGCAGCACAGTCCAGGCACAGTGTGAAGTTTGAGCAGACACATGCACAGCACTTCTTAGGGACAGAGTCCAACCAAGCACATTTACACAGTACTCTGAAATACATCCTAAATACTCCTTGTTTTAGTGGGGAGAGCAGGAATAAGAGAATTAAACAGCTCCATTTCCTTAGTGCTGGTCCGTGGCCATTTCCCCTCCTGACAGAACCAGCAAGTGCCTGTTAATTCCCTTGGCTAGAGCACGTTTAATTTATGCTCATTCCCAAGCCTCCCAAGGATCCCTTCGAGGTTACATAACCTTCTGTCAGCTGCACTTCCAACCTCCCCGTGCAGGTGGCTTCCACATTTATCTGAAACATTCCCAGCACGGCTCATCCTCCAGGCACCGACCTGCGGCACAAGGAGCTCGCGCGGCTCTTCCCACCTGGATCCGGGAAGGCTCCGGCCCCTCTCACCTTCTGGTGGCTCGTGACCTGCTCCCTGCTCCTGCCCAGCTCCTCGGCCAGTCTCACGTTCTCCTCCTGCAGAGCCTCGAGCTGCTGGGACTTGTGAGCTGCTGCCAGTTTGAGCTCCTCGCTGCGAGGACACAGAGAGCATCGTTACCATAGGAACGGGACAGGCAGGGAAAACTGGGGGAGAGAGGCAGCTCCACAGCTCGGAAAAACACATCCAGGTCACGTGTGGAAGGGAGCTGAGATAGTGGGACAACCCAGGGCTCGGGTTAACCCCGGGGGCAGCAGCACAAAACACCTTTTCCTCTCTGTATCAGGGTCTCGGAAATGGGAGGTAAGTCCAGATTCCAAGTTCTGCGTGTTCCCATGGCCAGCGAGGCTTGGATTTGGGAGCACAGGGGAGGGACTGACAAGTCTTGGCAAGGTTTGCAGCCTGGGCTTTCACAGAAGGGAATTTTGCAGCCAGAGGTAAAACAGCAGAATTGCTTAAAAAGCAAAAAAAAAAAAGAAAAACAAAGCTAGAAAAGGCAACAGGAAAAACCCTTCCAGTTCCACCTATTTAACTACTCCCTGATATCCAGACATTCAAGAATGTTGGACCTTGGGATCACAGGAAGCAAACCAGGAAAAGGTTCTCATCTATTCCATTATTTTAACAGATACAAACTGAAAATGAGACAAAAGCTGAAGGAAAAAAAGGCTTTGCAGCCTGTGCTGCTACTAAATGTGATTTCCTTAAAAGAAGTTTATTTTCAACAAATTTTTGCACATATCTTGCATGCTGCCTCTGACACAAGTGACTAACACAAGTTTTTAGATCTGACATCTCTCAAAAAATACAAGAGATCCCCTTCATTTCACTGAACAGTCATTTTTATGACTGTTTAGTTTTTACCAAAAGGAGTCTCAGTACTCCCGTGTGTCACTACTACAGAGTTAAATCTTGACTGGAATATTAAAAATACTTTTATAATAGTGGGAAGTAGAAGAGCCCTTAAGTCAGAAACTTAATCAAGCACTTCAAAACACAAGGATCTGTGGTCTGTTACTGGGCACATTTAGACACAATTCTGATTAACTCTGAGTTCAGCATCTCCTGTGACTCAGATTTTTCAGCCATTTCTTGTACCTGTCTCACCAGGTGGAAATGCTGTGAAATTCTCCTGGTTTACATATATTTACATACATTTTATATTAATATATATAATATATATTATGTGCATTTATATATATATAGCAAAAATACATAAGATGTATTTTTATATATATGTAAAACACACAAGATGTATTTTTATCTGTAATATTTGGTTTGTACCACTCAGGAAACAAATGCACAGTGGGGCAACAGGAATAAACTGCATAAAGCCATCAAAGAAAAATAAAAGTAGATCCAAATATGCTATAAACAAAGTCACTTAAAACAACACTCCAAGTGTACTTGTAATGAAATCAAACAATTCTCTCATAATAAAGATTTTCACATCATCTCGTGCCCTCAGGTGGCAGAAGCCTCCAACAAACAAATTATTTCAAACAGTGCTCCAAGGACTTGCTTCAATTCTCATCAGCAATTCAGGAGCAGTGTTCTGATGCCAAACTACTATTTAATTTTGACCTAATACCTGCTTTGTAGTGAGGATACCAGAAAGGCAATACTTAAAACAATCAAAGTTAAATGTAACCCCAAAAATTAACAAAAATACTTACAATTCTTTTTTAAGTTCTTCCACTTTCTTGTTCTCCAGATTCAGAAGCTCTTTTGATTTATTAAGTTCCTCTTCATTTTTCAGGTTGTTTTGTTTAAGCATGTCCAACTTCAAGAGGAAAAAAACCCTCGTTACACCAAAGAAACCACACAGTTCTCAGGACATGATGTCCAGCAAAATGGGGCCTGGGCTGGTCCATTTTCCAGCTTTAGCCCTTAAATTAATCCAGCCTGTATGTTATGAGACTTTCTGCATCCAAACTGAGCAGCACAGAGAATTCCAAGTCCATTGGGGAGCAGTTTACAGGAATTTGATGTAAAGAGGTAAAGCCCAAAGCCCCTCAGCTCCATCAACTGCTGCACCACTCAAAGCATTATTTGTTTTTAAATGCAAAGCTTGTTGCTAAAATTACCTGTTCCTTGATCTTTATTCCTCTAAGATAACCAGTAAATTCTGCTTTTCCATACCTTAATTTCTGAGATTCAATAGGGTGAGTGTTGTGCCTGCCAGCTCAGGAAATGAATTCCCTGCAGAATGGGACAAACTGTAGTCCATCTATTTCCTGAGCTTGTGTCCACCAGGGAAACACCCCGAGCTTGTGAACCTGATGTGTTCCCATCCAGCCACACATGATATTATATAAGAGATAATCTCCAGCCATTCTCATGGCATTACAGGGCCCTGGGGATTGTTTTTTAATCCAGAAAGTGAACCCCTCCCATATAAACGTCACCATTTCTAATTCTCGAGCCCTCAGATCTCGCTGGAAATTGTTCCCATTTTAGCACATTTAGGGCAGCCCAGCTGTTCCCTACCAGAATTATGGAGCTGCAGATGACAGAATCCTCTCCTGCCCCATCTAATTCTCCATAATTCAGAAGCTGTTCTTACAAACCAGGCCAAACTTTTCATAGAAAAGCATTTAAATGTGATTTACTTCATTCTGGAGCTTCTCGTTCGTCTGTCTCGAGTTCTCCAAAGAGGCCAAAGTTTCAATTTTTTCTTTGTGAATGGCATCCTTCTCCTTGGTCACCTGCTCCACAGCCTGGAAAACATCTTCTGCCATTTTGGCAGCCTATAAATAAAGGGGAGCGGGGAAAAAAGCACTTATTACCAAAGGGACCTCTGACAGCAAAAGATGAACCCCAATACTTCATGCACAGCTCCGCGGTTTGCCAGCTGCTTCCCAGTTAAATAAGGACTTCAACTGGGAATTTATTTGCATTTTGAAGCTGCATAAAGTATAAATTTCAGTGGAGAAGATTCGATTCCATGCAGAGACAGATCATAACCTCATGCTCGTGTCAGCACCGAGGAAATCCGTTCCCTGTTTTCCTTCCTGGATTTCTCATTACCACCATTGTGGCTGCTCTTAGACCTCTGACCTCTTTAGACAGTAGTAGTTCAGTAGATATTCACTCCCAACAGTCTGGTGTGTTTTCAGAAAATATGGAATTACAAAACCTCAAAAATTTGGACAGTAATGGACTAGGAGATAAAGCCAATTATGGAGTTATTTTATTGTTCATTGTGGCCTCACGAAAGGAAATACTTCCCAAGGATATTAAAACACTCATGTAGGTATCATCCACAGGGTATCTTGATCCCAATTTCTATTTAAAGTGGTTTTCAGGGCTTTAAGCCACACAAACTGACATTCAAAATCCTTTACACAATTTGTTGGTGGTGAATACAAAACAATTCTGTGAATAAAAGAACACCAGAGTTGTCAGTGTCTTTCCCAGTCTCTTACACCGCTTTTATCCAATTACATTTCCAGGAGCAGCATATTGCTTCATTTTTTTTGGAGTGACTCAAATTTGGAGTTTGTAGTAATTTAACAAAAAGATCTAATCTAAACCTTATCTATCAATACTCTGGACTTGAAGCTGCAGAGTCCTTCACCAGAAGGAGCTGCTCAGTGTCTCCTCCCAGATTCAGGGAACAGAGCTTCCTTTTATTCACAGTTTATGTTGTTTTCTTGCACCATTCAGCGCCAACAGAGGCTTTTGTAGTTAAAATATTTAAAAAAAAAAAATAAAGTGTCTTTCAGGCTCACAACTTGTGACAAACCCAAAGTAACATACTGAGAGTGAGCCCAGAATTCCAGCCTGTTCACATGGAAATAAAGTGCTGAGTGTGCAATGAGGTGCAGAGGAAATCAGAGGTTAGTGCTCAGGATTAGTAGAACTTGACTGTTTAACTATATTTCAATACCTCCAGTTTCTGTGCTACTGTTTGGGCCTGGAGAGTCTCAATTTCTTTTATTTTCAAAGCCAGATTGTTCATCTCCTCCTGCAGCATCTCATTTTTGCCCTGAGACTCCAACAATTTGCCTGAGAGGTCACTGTTAGTTTGCTCTAAAAGTGTAACCTCCTCACACAGCTTATAATAATCCTGGGAGAATTTCTCCTTCTCATTTCCTATTTCTTCCTTACTCAGGACCAGACTCTTCTGCTCAGCCCTCAGACTGTCCACTTCCTCAAGTAACTTTGTTCTCTCCTCCTCCATCAGCTCCAGCCTGGGTTGGAGCTCCTCCAGCCTCTGGCAGACACGGCCGTGCAGGTCCTGGAATTCTGCTGCTGATTTGGACACGGAAGCAAAGTCACCTCTCAGCTGCTCCATGCTGGAAACAAGCTGCTCCTTCTCTGCACACAGGGCTTCTTTCTCTTTCATTATTTCCACCAGTTTAATATCAGATTTTTCTTTCTCCTGAACTAGAAGTTCTTTCTCAGCCAGAAATCCCTTATTTTTCTCTCTCAGCTCTTCCACCTCCTTCTCTAAGCAGCTGATGGTGCTTTGAAGTTCCACACGTTCCAACAGGAACGATTCCTTGTCCAGTTTTCTAGCTTCCTTTTCCATGGTTAAGTTTTCTTTCACAGCAGCAACCTCTCCATGTAGTTCCTGACACCTCTCCTGCAGTTCATCCCTCTCCCTGGTCAGCTTTTCCCTGTCAGAGGAGCAGGTCTTCAAGGAAGACGACAGGACCTGCTCGGCCCGTGATGCCGCCGCCAGCTCACCTTCTAACACACCTCTGGCATCCTGGGCCTCCTTCAGAAGGTTGGAAAGGTCACATTTACAGGCTTTTAGCTCTTCATTTTCTACAGTCTTCTCACGTAGCTCTGCCTTGAGGGCTTCGATGGAATCTTGGAGCACAACATTCTCCTGGGCCAGAGCGTTCCTGGACGAGACGCCCAGTTCGTGTTCTCTCCTCAGATCACAAATTGCCTTTGCACAAGACTTGTTTTCCTCAAGAAGCTCTGAGTATTTTTTCTCCAATTCCTCCTTCTCTTGGAGAAGAGCTTCATTGTGCTTTTCCAACAGCAGCGACTTCTGAACGACAGATTCCTTTTCTGAGGCCAGTTCCTTTATTTTCTCAGTGCAGACTCTCTCAGCCAGCTCAGCCTCTGCTGAGGCCTTCACAAGCTTCTCAGCAATTGCCTTATTTTCATTTAGAAGTTCCTCCCTCTCAACCAAAAGCTTTTGTTCTGATGAAGAAAGAGCCTCTTTCTCTTGAAGTAGCCGAGAACATTCCAAATGGAGTGTCTCTCTTGAGGCTTCCACTTCCTCAAGGAGGCGAGTGAGACTCCCAAGGGAATTCTCAAGCTCCACATTGTCTTTCCTCACAACTGTGAGTTCCCTGTGCTCAGTCTCCAGTTGTGTTTGCATCTCTTTCTCTCTCACTTTTAACTCCTGGTTTTCACTGACCGCGTTGTCCAAACTCACTCTCAGCTCTTCCATGCTTTCCAGGAGCACCTTCTTCTCTGCCTGCAGACTCTGACTTGTCTGCAGGACACTGCTCAGCTCCTCTTTCAGGGCTCCAAGGGTATTTTGAAGAGCTGAGTGTTCCCCCAGGGCTGAATCTCTCTCTGCAGTCACTGCTGACGGTTGTTGCTGGAGCTCCCTTTGATCCCTGGCCAAGGCCTCACAGGAACTTCCCAGCTTCTGGATAACATCATCTTTGTCCTTTATAACTGCATCTTTCTCTTCCAAAAGTTTCCTCTGGTAATTCCCCAGTTCTTCCCATTCCTTGGTGTGTTTCTGACATTCCACACCCAGGGCATCTTTGCTGGCCTCGAGTTCTCTCAGCTGGAGGAGCAAGGCTGACTCGGAGGACCGGAGAGCATTGTTCTCCTGAGCTGCCTTCAGGAGGTCTCCCTGGGCTGCCTCGAGTTCACACAGTAATTTGCTTTTCTCACAGACCAGTGCTCCCTTCTCTGTGCTCTCCTGCTGCCTTTTGGCCTCAGCTTCTTCCTTCTGCTTTAGGATTCTTTGATTTTCTGTCTTCAGTTCTTCTTGGTCTTGTTGCATTAACGAAATCTTTGATTCCAGTTCTTTAAGTTCTGATAACAAGGAACCTCTCTCTAATTTTAAAGCATTCCCCTCCTGTGCCAAGGTCTCTTTTTCTGCCATCAAACCCCTCATCTGGTCTGACATTAGTTCAAGTTCTTTTCTGGCTGATGTTAACACAGAGCTCAGGGACTAAAGAAATAAAGTCAGGGAGAAGGGAAAACAAAAATGAAGTCAAGCAGACAAATGAGAAATGTGCTTTAAGGGCAAATAGAGCAATTTTAATTCAAGTTTTAAAAGTGTATACACTGACACACAGTCCCTGTGTGAACTCAACTGCTGACAGACCCCCCTGGTACATCACAGAACACCTCCCATCCACAAGAGAAGCTTTCAGTGGTATAATAATAATAATAATAATAACAACAATAATAACAATAATAATAAATATCATGGTTTAAAAGTTCCTCCATACAAGATTTCATCTTGTTTTTTAAAACTACTCTCAACAAACTGTCTGAATGTAAATAACTCAGAAAGAAGAGCCACAGAATTATTTAATGAGACTCTAAGTAAATTAAAATGCAGAGAGTTGTATTAGATATTGATATCGATATTAGATATTCTAATTCTCAATTTCACCTTCTGTAGATAATTCTCATGATTCTCTCAAAAATATATTGTCATAACCCCCTTAATTCAAACCCCCACAGCAGTGGTGTCAATACTGTGTGTCAATTTATACACTAAATACTTTGCTAAAGCATAAACCAAAGATTATAGTAAATAACTGATGAGGGATGAAAGCAAGCAGTAATGTCAAAGAAACAGGAGGAAAAACTAAAATTACTGAAGTCAAGCTACACACTAAATAGATGCAGATCTTATGGGACTGTACTACAGAATGAAATTCCAGGGGTGCAGCACTTCTAAATGAAATGGTTCACCATGTATCTTAAAATTCAACATTTAAAAAACCAGGGAATGACATTTGGCTCCAAGTGACTGTGCTGAGCCACATTATCTCTGAGCATAAATTGTTAACATCAAAGAACTGGATTTCATCAATTCTTGTGTAATTTAGAGAAGAATTAACAACAGTCAGTCCTGTGTGCTTCTCTTCCCCATCCCATATCCACCTACCCTGGAAAAGTTCAAAAAGGAAAACAATGCAAAAATCTTGCTATGAAAGGTCGAAGCAGAAAAAAACCCCCAGGGATTCACTGAGACAGAAGGATTTCAACCTTAAATTACTCCCAGAGTAACAAAATACACCTACTTTGGCCTGTTCCACCTCCTTCCTCAGCTCCTCGGTCTGTGTTTCCAGCTCGGTGTTTTTCCTCTGGGCACTTTTCAGAGCCTCCTCTGCACTCAGCAGGTTCTGCCTGAACCCCTGGATTTCTGCATCATGTTTGGCCACCAGCTCAGAATTTTCTTTTTCATACTTTGCCTGAAGATCTTCGTACTGAGTTTGGCTGGTCTGGATTTGCTTTTTCTGGTGGCAGATGGAACAGGCACAGGTCAGGCAGCAGTGGGACGATGTCCCACACCCAGTTTGGTGCTTTTAGAGTCCTTACCATGTCTGTCAGTTGATCCTGCAGATTTTTCAGTTCTGCTTGATGAATCTGGAGAGTTTCCTGCTGACTCTGCTCAGCTTTCTGGGCTGTTTGCTCCACGTTTTTCTCAAGCTGAGCAGCCTTTTCATTTGCTTTTGTGAGCTCAAGTTGTATTTGCTCCAACTGCCTGGAAAGCCCAAATGAAAGGACATCACTTTCTGCTGACAGCACCACAAGCACAGAGATGAAAGAGTCAGAGTTATGCTGAAGTTCTATATCCTGTCCAAGCACTTAGAAAGAGATTTAATTATTTAACATAAAGAAAATATTTTGCTAAATTCAATATACACAGGGGAGACCAAGCACTTGCTCCTTACTCGTGTGCAGAGCAGCTGCCAGAGCAACCCCCAGTCTGGGGGTTTGTAAAGGTAAAGAACAACAATTTTCATTTGGAAAAAAACACATTTTCTCTTGCTAGAAAAAATGTGACCCAAGTCTTTTATATATCCAAATAAACTGAGCTTATCAGGCAATCAAGTAATCCTGAAGCACAGTGACAAAACAGTCTAGGTTACTAAAAAGGTCATTTACTCTGGGCAATGAGAAGACATTATATAAGAATTTTAGAATTATAAATGTTTGATGCTCTTCAAATCACTCCCAGGAGCCTGTTTTGATTAATTTAGTTTGCTGGAATAAGTTCACTTGTCATATCAATGTGACACTGGGGAGCATTTTGTTCAGATATTTACAGAAAAATCAGATGAGGAGCTGGGAGTGTGGGAGTGAGGAATTGATGTCACAAAGCTCTGGCAGAGAGGAAATACCAGCAAATACCTTTCTTTGGAGCGCAGCTCATCGTTCATCTTGGTGAGCTGGGCAGAGCTGTCCCCTGAGGACTTCATGATCTCTGCAATATCATTTTCAAGTTTGGCTTTAGCTTCCACCAGTTGCTGCTCTCTCTCTTCTCGCTCCTTCAGCTTCCTCTCCATCTCTGGGCAAAACAAAGGTTGTTAGGCTGGGAAATTTAAGAGGAAGGGTAGTTATGGTGAAGAACCATAAACAGCAATTTTGATGTACAGACCTTGCAAATCAGCCCTTAAAATTAAAGATTATGACTGTTTGAACTTTGAACTGAAGCAAAAGGTTAAGAACTTTTCAGGAACAGTAAAGAGCAACTAGTCATGAACTCTTTGTCTCAGAAGTGAGTCACATCAGGCCATGAGAGGTGGGTACAGGTTCTGCTGTGTCAGAGGGTAAGGAAGCACTGGAGGAAGATCTGCACACCCTCCAGTGAGAGCATCAGCAGCTGCTCAGCAGAGCAGCACAGGATGAACAGTGAAGTCAAAAAAATGACTCAGTGTGGGGCAGGCACTGCCACCAACAGCCCCTGGGATCCCTTCTCCAGCCCCAGCAAGGCCTCCTGGGAGAGGGGAAGGAGACACCCAGACTGACACAGGCTGTTTGGTGTCCTCAAAAAGAGCACAGTGCTTATGGACAAGGCTGAGAAGGAACTGTTCATGTTTGTAACCCCCCAGGTTGGTCCCTGAGCCTTTGCCTGGGGTCTGACCATCCCCACAGGGGGGGTTTGTTGCAATGTCAAACAAGAATTTAAGTACTGATTTTAACACACCCAGGTAGCAAATCCTGGGCCTTACTGCACCATCTCCTGAGCATTATCATCACTGCTGGGTCACTGCTCACAGCCCACAACAGCTGCTTTCTGCCCACAAGAAAGCCCTTCCTTTGCAGGCACAGGCACTGGGGGAAGCATTTTACCGACTACAGGAGGCACAGGAAAGCACAAAGTTGCTGCAATTTTCAAAACAGCCCATTTTATCCTTCCTTACCAGTCAAACCAGACTTGAGCTGTTCCAGTTCTGAAGACATGAGTGCAAACTGCTCTTCTTTTTGGTTCAGTTTTGTCACTGTTTCTAGGCAAGGAAGATTTTGAAAACAAAAGTTAGCAAATAACTACTTAGATGCAGACAATTCCACCTGCTTGTCAGGACTGTTACTCTTTAGAGGCTGCAAGCAACCCTGGCCTTTCCACAGCCACTGACAGTGCTGGGCCACCAGGGGTAAATCTGAAGGCATTTAAAAACCTCTTTATTTTGCATGTAATTCCTGCAGCTTTTCAGCTCTGTTCACTTCAGCAGCACATACCTTGCATAGCCCGTTGAACATTTTGCGCTTCATCAGCTGCACTAGTAAACTTTTCTTTCTGGAAAATGGATAAAAACCCAAGGTGAGGTTTGGTGATGACAGTACAACTCAACCACTGACTTTATTTTAGGTATTTTTCAAGTACAAAATGGAAGTGTTTGCTCCCATCATAAATAGATCTGAGGTTTCTGAATTACAGTTCAGCACAGATTGTTCAGCAACATAAAGCAAGATCTTCTCTTTCTTTGGTTGCAAGGAAGTCCCTCAACATTCAAATAACTTCTCTAGAGTAGGAAGCCTGATTTTGGGGTCTCTATCCTTGCTGCTCACAGGCTGCACAGTGACATCTGTGATCCAACTCTCACCAGTGTTTTCCAGCAAGCATTGATGACAGACAGTGAAGAAAAAGGGGGATATTGAGGAAGACAAGTGAGGCTCTTCCACCAACTCTGAATATTTACTGTTGGCCATGGAAAGTAAAAACAAAAAGCCCATTTTTTTGTTACTACTCTGGTGTAGTTCCTCAGGAACCCCCCTCTCCCCAGGTAAAGAATATTTGGAAATTTAGTTAAATTTACAAAATAAGAAATCAGATGAAAAATGTCTTTAAAAACCATTTGTAAGAAGTGTGTAACAATCACTAAAACACTTATAATTAAGGGCCATGTGTTCCTTAATGAGCAGTCCAAAACTCCAGGCTGCTTTTGATTTAGTTTAATTTTAGTTTAATTCTGCAATCCATAAACTGGTGAGTTTTATTTACACAAAACTCCTGCTAACACAGGACTCCAGTGAAATGCTCTTTTCAGCTCCCATTATCCATGAACCACTTCCTTGCCTTCTTTCCCTGAGTAAAACAGCTTGGAAAGACTTTGCTCAGAACTGATCCACAGATTTCAATGACACTCTCACCATGAAAACCCAAAATCCAAAGAGTAAAGTCGAAATTTTGGGGTTTTACTCACCAAAACTTGAAGTTCCTTTTCCAAAGAATCTTTAACTTGATTTACTGCACTCAAGTTTTTCTCAAGGTCAAGAAGCTTTTGCTCTTTGCCCTGCAGTTCTGTGGCCAGATTACTGGCCTAACAAAGGGGATGAAATGGAGTAAAATAAAATGACAAACATGAGTGAAAAATCAGGAAAATTAAGAGATGAATCTGAAAGAAAAAAACTATAATATTAAAATCACTTTAAGATGAAAAATTTAAAAAAAAACTGAAAAAAAAAGTGATGTGTTAATTGAGCGGAGCTGATTTCCACTGATGACAGAAACATCACAGCACTAATTGCATCTTGGAAGAGATTTGAAATCATTAAAATGTAGTTTTTTGGAATCAATGGTGAAGACATTTAATGCCAGATGCTTTTGAGTGCATTCAAAGTTTCAAACCAAACTTACAGCATCAGTTCAATCAGTAGTTTGGGCTTTTTATTGTTTTAATTTTCTTAAACTGATTAATTTGGGCTTCAGATCAATCCACACAGCGGGATGGAATTTTTCCAAGGGTTCTGACCGCTGGGGTGTTGCACAAACCCAGTGTGACCTCAAAAAGAGAGTCAAAGGTAGAAATTTGGTATCTTGGAACCATCTGGGAAGGGTTTAGGAAAGCTCCTCCCAGTCACTTTCTCGCTACTCTCACAATTAGAGCTCCAGCTTGTCGGGTCATGCACAGATTGAGGGGGAACCCCAAAAACTGAATGGTATCTCAGCACTTTTATCCCTGGCTCCAGTGGTGGGACAACTTCCAGGCACTGAATGGCTCAGCTTTGAGGAGATATTTCATCCAAACCCGAGGAAAACCTTGGTCAGATGTATCCCACTGCAGACTGGGGCTCAAAAATGCTGTGAACCAGGGCCAACAACATCCCTGCAGACCCTGGGCTTGAGGAAAAGCTCCACCAGGATCTTTTTTGCTTCCTTTTGTTTTTAACAACCTCTTCCACCACCCTGTCAGATGGGAGAGGCAGTGAAGGGAACATTCCCCACTGAGCCCCAGGTCACTTTGTCTGAATGTCACCAAAGTTAAAGCCTCAGGATGTGTGGGATCTCCTCCCAGATAAGCCAACAAAGTAACTTTTCCATAACAGGAAGCTTTCAGTTTTTCAGCCTGCAGCAAGAAAGTGCAGAAGGAATCTTTTCCTGTTGCTTATTGCTGCAGATGGAGCACCAAAAACCTGCTGAGACCCGACCCAGTCAACGCTCCCTCTAAACCTCCTCAGGTGGTACCAAGATACACAACCAGTAAAACTCCTTTTTCTGTGATGTATTTGCAGATTAAAACAGTACAGATGTCAAATAAAAGCAAAAGCAAAAGAAAAGGATGGATGTTGATACAAACCTGGCTAATTCCATCAACCTTTTCAGTCTCTAAAGTCTGAATTTGTTTCTCGGCTGCCTCAAGCTGCTTGCTAAGTTTCTCGATTTCCAATTTACCTTCAGAATTGGCTTTCTGAAGTGCAGCAAGGTCCAAAAGCTTTTCTTCAGCAGCTTTGATCTGTGGTGTAAGACTATCAATAACTTTGGTTTGTTCATTGTACTTGGCTTGCAGTACCTCTAGCTCCTTTACCTTTATCTCAGCTTCCTGTAATTTGTTTAAAGTGTCTTCCATTTCTACAAGATGCTGATCTTCCACACTTTCCAGTTTGGTCTTCAGGCTTTCCAGGCTTTGCTCTTTCTCCTCCGTGACTGCCAAGAGTTTTGCCTTCAGTGACTCGACCTCCTTCAAATGCTGAGATCTTTCATTCTCCTGCTTCACTTTGAAACTGGACATTTCACTCTCATGGTCCAACTTCAGCTTCTCAATCTGAGTCTTCAGCTCCGCAAACTCCGCTGTCTGAGCCCCCACCCCTTTGCTGAAGGACACTTTCAGTTCTTCCATGGCTTGCTGATGGGAGGCAATTGCAGATTCCAGCTTGGATTTCCACAGCTCTATCACCTCGGAATTCTCCTTGTTGGCGTGATCCAGCTTGGATTTCAAGGATTCATTTTCTTTTGCCATCCTCTCGTTTGAAGCCGAAAGGGATTTGATCTCTTTCTGCAGGGCTTCCTCACTGATCCCAAACTTCTCCCGCAGGGAGTCCACCTCGCTCTGATGTTCTTTGCCAACTGCTGCCATTTTTTCTTGTAAAGAACTGATTTCTTGTAACAAGGACAGAGAAGTGTCCACGTCATCCACGTGCTTACTGGAATCCAACCTCCCTCGGAGCTCAGCCACTTCCTTCACCCTCAGGGCCAGATCCCTCTCCAGCTCCATGATACGGGATTTTTCTGACACTGTGGCCACCTGTGATCAAGAGTGTTTTAAGAAAAGAAGAAAGAATTATCAAAGATACATTTAACACAAAGACACTCAGGCCTTGCTGAAAAGAATCCACTGAGTGTTGCAAATTGCTTTAAAAAAAAAGAAAAATGTCCACAAGTTTGTATTAAACACATATTATATATTCTCTCCAAGGATGGAATTCAGTTAAATCCATTTTTCTGAAGTCACCTAGAAATAACAACTTACTGAACAACTTACAAACTGCACTGATGTATATTAGCAATGGTTAACAAAGTGTTTCTCAGAACCATTTTAAGCAGACTGGGAAAGAACAGAGAACCTCGAGGTCTTTACTTGTTGAAATAAGGCCTCCAAATTAATCTCATCCCAGCTCTGAGATGTCAGAGAAAATTATAAACACATTTTCAGCCTATAAATCCTCTGAAATTCCTTCCACATCCACTTAATTGTCCCTGAAAAAGTGTCCTCACTATCCAAGCTTTCTGTTGAAGCACTTTGTGCCACAGCAAAGCTCCCACAATTAATTCTAATTAGAAAGTTACTGTTTCAACCTCCTTATTATACCAACATCCTGAAAAAAATATTACTTACCTGCAATTGCTCTTTAAAAGTACTTATTTCAGAGTATGTTCTTGGGTTTCTATTCATCCTGGGGTTTTTATTCATCCTACCTCAACTTCAAGAAAATCCCCATGTGTGAGCACGGATATATGTGTGTGTGTGGATATATATTATATCCTTTAGAATATCTGCTGAACTTCTGACTTGGGATAAAGTATATCCAGTAATATTTTGGCAGGCAACAGTATTGCTAATGCTACTGAGATATCCATTAAAAGATTATGTCATTGGTGGGCAAAAAGAGCTAAAAAGCCCCTGCAAACCATGATTTAGCAAAGCAAGAAGTACAGCAACTACTGAAGACCTCAGAAACCAAGCCCCAAACACTAAGTTTGTGTTAAAAGGATTGGCACATTCAATCTTATTTTTTGGGGGGTTTCATGAACTTTGCTACATCTTAAAATGAACCAGTGAACATTTCTTTATGTCAGTTCATGGTCCCACTTTGCTACTTTTATGTCAATTCATGGTCCCATTGTGCTACATTCGGAACTGAGTAAGGATTTTGCAGTTGGAAGGCATCTTACCTGAATTCCTCCAGGAGAGAGGACACGTGTACAGGCACACACATACACACACCACCAAAATAAAGCTAATTTTTGAAGTGTTCCAGCTCTATGGCAGGAGCAGGGACCTGTCTGAGCCCGTGCTACACCCAAGACGTGTCACCAGGAATCTCCCCCACACAAAGCAGTGTCGTTATCCAAAGAGTGAAATCCATTACCCTAGTGTCTTCTAACTCCCTCTGGAGTTTGTCAGCTTTGGTCTTTTCAAAGAGCAGGCTCTGTTCAAGCTCCTTAATGCGGGCATGCTCCAGTTTGGTCTGCGTCTGTTAGTGAAAAGGGAGAGGAAGAGACACAACGGTGCCACCATCACATGCCAGCACGAGAGGAGGGAGCCACATGCAGGCCGTGCTGCCAGAGGCCTCTACCAGTGATGAGCAGAGAGGATGCAGTGGAGAAAATGGACAGGGAAATGCTGTGGATGAGGAACATGGGCTGAAGGGGGGGATGGACTGACATGGCAAAATAAAGAAATGAATAAATAAGGCAAACGGAAATAAACGGCAAACGGAGGAATGGGAACAAAAAGGTTTCATGCAGCTGAGTAGGAGTTATTTATCAGTACATGAGGTTTTTGGCACAAATTAGAGTAGTTATGTAATAAATATATATATATGTGCATATATATCCCTGCCTGTTCTAACAGGATGGTCAGTCCCTTTCCCTGTCATCCCTTTTAATGTGCTGGGTTTATTTTTTAAATAATTTATTTATTAACCAGGAGACAAAATTCCACACTGAGGCTCATGTGATAAATCCAAACTTTAACTTTCTGGGTTTTTTTATAGTAGCTGTCTCTCAAGTCCCAGCCATAAAACTGCTTTTAGCCAAGACCTTAGAACATGAAGGTTCATTTGCCACTGTGGTTTGAATTCTTTGAATAGAAAGGAGGGGTTGTCTACCACTCCAAAACCCTCCTGATTTTTCCCTCTCCTCTTCCAGGAAGGAAAAGCAACAAGTACTTGTTTAAGTAACAAGATTCCCCAGAAGCAGATAAGGAAGTATCAGCCTGGTTGCTCTGCAGTCACAGAAGTCTAAATATATTGAACAAGATGTGGAAGCAAGGAAAAAGAAAATAAGATCTTTGGAATTCTAAGAGGTTCCTAAAGAGGAGCAGGACACAGATGAAACTAAGTGAGCAGGTATCTCCTGCCTTTTGCTTACAAACAGGTGAAATTGTTAGCAAGAACACAGAATATTGGATATTCTGGCTTGATATCCAGATATTGCCAGAGGCCTGCGAGGGAGCCTGAAACTTGGGAGGTGCCAGTAAAGTCCAGCAGGGAGTTCAAAGCTGATCTGCACCTCTGAAGTGGAGAAGAGAAAAAAGGAAAGAGAAATATAAAGAGGTAAGAACCTCCTATTTCTGCCTATTTCTGAAGTGCAGAGATTCAAGTACTGTATCAGTCTTGACAGGTCCCTTATTTAAATTTAGTAAACAATCCAAAAATGAAAAGGATTGGGAAAACCTATTGATGCTTCACAGGGTCTTTTCCAAACAGCAGCTTTCCAGGCTTGGCCACAGTGGGAACAAGGTGGATTTTCAGAAGACTGAGTGAAGCTGAAAAAGTGTTTATTAACCAAAGAAGTTGCATCCACTGGTGCTGATGAAAGTTCTCTCTACACAGTTGGACTGCCCAGTTAATTCCCTGTAGAACAAGTAACACAGTTCAAAACTGTGAACTAGAATGGACAGAGGAGAGCCCTGGAACATGAGCACTGGATTGGATGAATCCCACCAGGATTCATTCAGGAATCCAAGGGCAGCTGTGTGTGCACAGTGGCAGGACCTGCTGCTTCTCCACCTTTGCAATGATACCCAAACCCTGCAGAACTGTGGGACTGGAGTGAAAAGCTGAGCAGTGCTGCCTCCAAACCAGGCACAGCAGCCAAGGACCTTCTGTGGTCCCTGCAGAGCAAGTGGGATGGGATGAGCTTCTCATTTTGCTCCAGGCCTGTTCTCCAAACACAGAATTCCTTCTGACAGCAGCAGGTTATCTTCCTTCCCAAAGCATGCAACATCCGGGCAGTTAATTCTTTAAACCTTTTTCTTCCCAGCTGGAAACAGTTGGCTGTGTTACTGTGGAGTTACTTGGTTACTTGAAGACATAAAATCCACAAACACTAAAAGTTGCTTCTTAGATTTGACTATTTTATGAAAGTTTGTTTCTCTCTCACTGGAAGATCTTCAGTGGATATGGGGGGAAATGCTCCACAAGAACAGAGATTACTCTTTTTGCTGCCCACAGGTTTTGAAAATGGAATTAAGTGTTCTAAGGGAAATAACTGTTTTGTAAGTGGCTACATTCAGTTTTTTTTTCTGACACAGGTCAGTATTAGTTCTGATGCACAGCAAAATTTTAAGTATGAAAAGTAATCTATTTTAAAAATTGGAAATTCATACCTTCCTTGTTTTAACTCAAAGGATCTACTAAAAACCAAGAAATCCCAAACCTGACAGTTGCAGAATTCTCCCCGAATGCCTTTGGAAAATATGTTTTTCCATGCTACATAAACCCCAAACACTTTGATCAGTAATTTTACAGACAGTGTTTTACTACTGCAAAGATCAGATACACCATTACTGATTACTGGGTTCTTTTTAAGTCTTGTCTCTTACAAACAGAAACAAGTTAAAATCCTACCAAAATGCAAATAAAAGATTTAAAAAAATAATACTCTGGACATCTTTGCTAGAAATCTTTTTCCCCATTTAGAGTACGACAGATTATCCTTTAATCAAGTCTGATTTCCAAGGGACAGGCTCCATTTTCTTGAGGTAAAAATCACTACAGAATTTTGAATCACTCAAAATGATCATTATGTAGAGAGAAATTCCCAATGATAATGGTTCTCCTTGAGGAGACCCAGAGCACAGCGAACTGAGAAGAGCAGAAAGAGAAGAATTTGACTGTAAACCTTAACTTTGATGGCAAAGAAAGACAGGAAACAAAAACCTAGACAATGAAAGCAAAGGAAGCATCTTCCCCTTCTCCAAAGCTTTGCAGCTGGATCAGTGATGTGGGAATGGGAGAGCTTTTCTCTGCCTGGAACCTTAAAGAATTCCACCCAAACTTCAGAGACTGGACATCAGCTTTTGCAGCACTTGTGGCTGCTCTTTCACTTCAGAATAAACCTCACTGTTATTTCTCCAGAGTGTGAAATTGTGCTGAAGCCATAAATGCTGAGATGATCAGTTCCAGGGTGGGGCAAGACCCCTCCAGTCCCTCTGTGCTGGGATAACAGTCCCAGAACACCACTGAGATCCTGAAGGATCAGCCTAAAAACCAAGTGATCACCCACTTCTCTCCTTTGGAGAGCAAAGATGTCCATTTTTGATGGAAAAATCAGAATAGGGAAATCAGGAGTAAAGAGAGGATTGAACCAGGAGTGCACATGCAGAGTTATTCTAACACATCATCAGCCTGAGTGGAGACTGAGAACACCAAGAATGCACAGGAAACCAGTTTCAGCCTTGAGAACTTCCTATCTTGGCTGGGGATGCAGCAGAGGAGGCAGCCTGGGATAAATTTTCCTTTAAAACTCCTCTCTTCTGAGCTATGGAAGCAAGGGGGTTGCTCAGGGCTTGCAAGGCCATTTCTGCTATTGAGTAACATAATTTTCCTACATAATTCAAGAGAAGCTACAGTAAAATCAGGCAGCTTTGCACACTAATTGTTCAGATGGTTTTTATCATCTCTCCCCTTTGGCATTTCATACCAAAAAGGGAAAGAAATAAGGGGAGGTGGGCACAGAAACATTAACTGGCTACTTGCACTTTACATCTAGTGAACAGCAGCAGGAGCTCAGAGGAAAACAGGCAGGGCTTGTGAAGAAAACAGCTGAAATCCTACAGTTAAATGAAGGCTATTTCAGCATCCTGGTCAGTGATGCCCCTACACTCTCCAGTGGGTTGCAGAGGTTTGGACCCCCAAGAATCCAGTGCCACATTCACCCTGTCTCAGTTAACGGGGATTTAGTCACTACACACATTCCTTCCAATAAAGGCCGGAATTGCTCTGAAAGCAACATGCACACAAATACCAGAGTCGAGGTTTCAATAACAGATTATGCAGTTAGTGAATCAGTAGAAGCATTTTCTGCACACAATCTGTTAACATGGGATGTCTCTGCACATTGAAGTGCCCTCTTACATTGTCAGGGTCTTCCGAAATCTGCCTCTTTCGCTATCAGTAAAATTAAAAACAAACAAACAGAAATGTTTCACCTGCAGACTCAGCACTACCATTCCAACACAAGCAACAGGATACATTTCATCAGCCTGAATTCAGTTTAAACTCCAAGTTATGCATCTTGACAAACCAGAGGCTTTAAGATGGTTTGTCACAACTATCGATTGATTTAACAGAAAATAAAAAACTCAAATATTTCCACGGACTAAACAATAAAAGGAGCATTCTATGAAGAGTCTAGATAGGTATCTTAAAATGAATGGAAGACTAAAATAAAAGAAATGTTATATGAAATGAATAATTTTCATAAGGCTTCACTTAAATCATAAATGTTTTACAGTAACATAAATTAATTACATTTGTATTTTATGCTGTGCAAGAAATTCTAGTATTTTTCTAATTCGACAACAACAGAACAACTAAAAAGTATTCTGCTTTTTAATTTGAATCTTAGGATAAAAATTGGTAGTGTTCAAATATCTGAGAGCAATCCTTTATTAAATGTTTTCTCTCCTGACTGTGTAATAACACACTGTGTTTAGCCCAACATTATAATTATACAAACAGGAGAAGGATAAAAGCTGCACACATGCATTGCTGTTTACATTTTATGGGCAACACTGTCAGGATAAAACACTCCTCATCAATTCATCTTCCCTAAGGGAAGCACAGGGATTACTCAAAAATTTGATCAAACAAGACTAGTCTTCAATATTCATTTTTAAAGGCTTAAATATTAACTTGCAATTTCATAACTTCAAAATGATTTTTTGTTTGTTTTGGTTTAATATCAAAAGGTAGAACTTTCTATGAATTAATTTAAGTACTCTGAACAACTACAACCATTCCACTGCACAGCCATTGCAGAAATGCATGGAATTTGGGGTGCAATCCTGCACTTTCAGGACAATTAGTTTACTCAGGGACTGCAGAAGTGGATACTGCATTTTTTAATCATTCCCGCCTTTCTCTTCCAGAGAAAAGTGCTCTTAACCCAAACTAAATGCATTCCTCTGCCCTCCTAAATATTCTGTTTACAAAGCTGGAGATGTTTTACCTCGAGGTCTCCTTTGGTAATGGATTCTTCTTCCACACGGAACTGAAGGTCTTCGACTTTCCTGTGGGGACAACTCATTAAAATTCAGGTAACTTTGGAAGAAAAATGCTTTCAAACTCATTTTCAGTGGAAATCAGAACTACAGGGACATCACCCCAGCAAAGTGCCCGAAACACAAAGGAGAAATCTCTCCCAGGAAGCATCAGAGGGAGGGAAAAGGGCTCCCTTTAAACAATCACTGACAAAGGGAGGCACGGGCCTTCCTGCAACCCCATAAAGTGTATTCTGTTGTATTTGCTGATGAATTAAAAAGGAAACCTTTAAGTCATCACTGATTCTCTAATCCTTTCACCCTTTAAGTCATCACTGATTCTCTCATCCTTTCACCCTCCTGCATGTCCTTGAGAGAGTGACCGAAATGAACAGTCTGATCCCACATTCCATATATTCTACCATTCCTCAAAGAAACAGGCAGAAATTTAGGAGACATCCAAAATATCCATAGGCCTGGATGTGTGCTGGGCACACTGAATCCAGTCTCCAGGACTGAGGAATATGTTGGGGGTCAGGATGAACTGCAAGATGCAGAAGGGGAGCACAAGCCTTGCCTTGTCCACACAGGAGTCTCAGAATGGGATCGGGGAGGAGAGAAGCCAAAATCTAACTTAAAATCAAATTTTTAAGAAGTTATTGCTTCCCTCCCCTGACTCTGGTATATCCCAATGAACAAGGGGCCAGATCTCCTCCTTTTCCCCTTGATCTTTCATCACTAAGATGCTGCAAGGGAAGAGACAAGGATCTCTCCTTTCCTTGGAATTACACACACAGCTTGGCTGACAGATACAGAAATCACTGCTGCAAACAGAGTTACAAGTGATGTGAGTCCAAAATAAAAGAATAAGGATTTAGGACTGGGAGTGGGTCTCACCAGTGCTTTGGGAACAGGGGATTAAAGATTGACTTTGGGTCACTGCTGAGACTGACCCGAACACATAACACAGAGTGAATAAGCCTGGAAGGGTTGGGAGAATATACAAATAATTCCAGATCAAACTCGACTGTTTGCTTTGAAAATTCTGTTCTATTGGGTCCCACAAAAAGGCAGCAGGAAAATTGTAAAGGAATTGCCCTTTTTACCACTGCATTTTCCAGCTGTGACCTCTGGTTTTAGGCCCCTCAGAGAGGCCAACACTGACTGGCTCCAGGGGCACACACTCACAGTGGGTTTCTAAACAGACTTTACTCTTCCAAAGTATTCCAAACCCACTAAATCAATTTATCACAATTTCCTCACCTAACCTTGACCCAACAATTTATCAGACTATTTCCTTTCCCAACCCCACCTCACCTATTTGGTAATCTCAGTTCTTTCCTCTAATGGTTATGAAAGGGAATTAGAAAAGGCATTAGAATTAATGGCTTTGATGATTTGCCTGCAAGAGACATCCCCTATATAGACAAAACTAACAGTAATGAATTATTCACAAGAGATTTAAATGTAAATTCCTAATCCAGAACTGTCAGGGAATGAGATGATCAACCTTTTCATTTGGAAGTGGAAGAAAAGTGTTTCAAAAAGATGAGGTACAATCCATTAATTTCATATGAGGAGGAATAAAATATAGTAGAAAACAATAGTGCAAGTATTGAGTTGGATAAAAATCAGTTATAAACAATAGTTTTACAGCCTCTGAGCAAATCCACTTTCTTTGGCTTCCCCTCTCCAAACTGGAGGGTGGTTTTGTTCTTCATTAAATTTTAACAAACTGCAATATGATTTTACACAGTAATTGCCCATCGTTCAAAATTTGTTTCATATCTGAAAGCCACCAATAAAAGTCTGATTTAACAGAATTAATTCCTGAAGACATTTTTGGGTACCTTTTCTCCTCCTCGAGCTGATTGAGGAGCTCCACCTTCTCCCTGTCAGCTGCCTCCACCATGGCCCGCAGCTGGTCCATTTTTGCCTCCATCTCCAGAACGTGCTGAGCAACGAGGAGGAATATTATGCATTATATAGATATGGCTGTTATTATTACATGGGTATCATATTGATTTATATGGATATTACTATTATTATATATATTGATATAATGGATAACTTTACTTTTAGAACCCCACCTCGTACTCCCTGTTTAGGAGCAGCCCTCACCCCCCCTTACCCGGTCGTGTCCATCCCGAACCAGGGCCAATTCCTGCTCCATTTCCCCCACGTGACTCGTGGCTTTTGCCACCTCTGCCCTCTCCAGGTCCCTCTCTGCCAGGAGCTGCTCAATGTGCTGCTGCTTCTCCTTCAGGGCCTCCTGCAGGGCCGTGGTTCCCGAGATTTTCCGGGCGTACCGGGAAGAGGTTTCTGTCAACTTCACAAAGGAAATCCATTAAAAACCACTCTGCATCCAGGGAAAGGAAACTGGGATATCTCCAGCCTCTCCAAACACGGGGTTAGTAAAGCAAATGCTTCCTGTGACCTGCTGTACCTTCTCCTTTTCCATCTAAATGACTTTATTTTCCCCAGTTTAACATTAAATGACCTGACAGTTGCTTGTCTGACACAGGAAAAACAGCAAGAGCCCTGAATAGCTGAGCAGACTGTGTGAGAGTCCAGCAATTTTCAGGGAAGTTTTAGTTTTCCTAAAAACTGATGCACAAGAAATCTGCTGTGTCAGAACTGATTTCAGGAAATCTTGTTTCCTCAGCAGCTTAACTTTTAAAGAAAAAGTCTCCAAATTATTCAGACAATCCTTTTAACTTGAATGGCCACCAAATGTTCGTGTTGCCTGAAAGAGTTGGAAGAAAGACGGGATTTTAATTCCAGAAGTAATGGATTACAGCAGCTTTGTGCTTTATGGCCCAAATCATGCAAAATCCCTGGAGCACAACAGAGGCAAAATAAGCAAATATATTTGAGACCTTCACAAGGTGTAACTTCGAGGATCACAGCATGTGGAATAAAACACTGAAGTCCATATTTATGCTTTTCCTCATGGATTGAGGCAGCTCCACGTGTCAGTGCAGTGATCCCAAACTAGAGGGCACTCTGCAGCTGCAAGTGCAACTTCCACCCTGGATTAAGTAATGAAGTCCCGGTGTTTGCGCCAAATAAAAATCCTTTTTGTGGTCAGGTATTAACCCCAGTGCCCTGACCAGCTGCTGACCTCTGTAATCTGCTTCAGTCCTGCAGGACCAGGGTAGGTCACCTCTGCACCTGCCGGTCAGTGGGACACTGTCCCAGAGAACCAGTTCCACACCACTGGGAGTCACCTCCTGCTAATTAAATGCAATTATGGACTTTGGCTTAAAAAAAAAATGAAGAAAAAAATCTAGGGTGACCATGGAAAAACCCAACTATTTCTATGCTTTTCGTTGCCTTAAAAGAGACTTCTCAAAATTCAGCTTTCCCAGATTTCCGTCTTCCTGCTGCAACCCAAGATTAGAACATTTATGTAACAAAACAACTTTAAAAGAATCCATAGTAAGTGTATTAGGTGGAATTAGTACTGTTAGAATTCACCTGAGCCACTGCACTTGGCAACATTTAGCCTTTATGAATTCACAGATTAAAACCAAATCTAAAAGAAAAGAAAGAGGCTTTTTGTCAGCAAGGACCTGGCAATTGCTACTTCTGGATTTCTCAGCTGACTCATCTCTTTCGGTCTCTTTTGCAAAGAAATTTTCTTTCTTTACAAAGAAAATTTGGAGCATTTCAGACAATCTGAAGCTTCCTGCTGAATAAAACAAGTGAGGTCCGTGGAAGCTTTAGCTCAAACACAAACCCCTTATGAGAGAGGCAGTGAAAAAGAACAATTGATGGAGGTTCCAGCCAGAGACCGGTTTGGTGGTGCCATAAGCCCCTTTCTTATCGCAATCACTGTTAGCCTGAATCAAATATTCAAAATATTTGATACATGTATTAAATATTCAAATCTCCAGGGCTAGCTAAGATTTCCTTCCCTCGTGCATGCTTTGAGTGGAACCAGCACAACTAACGGGTGCCGTGCTCTGCTCTAGTCTCAACGCCGACCACGGGCACGTGGATTCCTGTGGATTCCTGTGGATTCCTGCACATTCCTGTGGACTCCTGAGGGGATGGGGAGCATGCAACAGAAAAAGGAGCTTACTAGTCCTGTACGGCTGGGCTTGCTGCTTACGGAAGAGGCCACGGAGCTGAGGGAGCTGAGGGAGGAGGCGCTGGGGCTGCGCTTCAGGGCCGTGGGCGTCGGCAGCACCTTCCGCACGGCGGCCTTGGCCTTGGCCGGGGTGGTCGAGGGGAACCCGATCTTGGTCACCTTGTGCACTGGGGCAAACAATCCATACTTGGGCTGGCACTGGAAGTACCTTCCAAAAAGCAAAGTAAGGAGATGAGAGTATAAATCAACTTCTTTTCACACGCACGGTCTGGCTTCACAAAGAATTCCGCAGCAGGAGCCTGAAAGTATTAATGGAACAGCTGGTGTCTCTCATCTACACTACACTGCAATCATATTTTTTTTGGAAAAGGGATTTTGAAAGGCTGAAGCATGATTATATCAGACTTCAGAAATTCCACTTGAGCTGTAGCTCTATTTCCTAAAAAAATTCCATTCAGAGTCAGTTTTACACGCGTTAACTTTCCTCTCCCTCTGAGCTGCCAACAATATGTGATGGCTGAGAGTTAGAAATAAGAAGTAGATTTTAATTAGATCAAGTAGTTTTATATCACATACATACTCTTTATGCATATTTGATTATACAGAATATATATCTTTGATTACATATAAACAAATACCACTTATAATTTTAAGTTGTGATCACCCATGTTAAGGTGGCACAATCCTTGTAAAACCTCTTTTTAAGGAGGTAAAAGACTGTTCCTTATAGCAAATCAGAAAGAAAGTCACACTGTGGTGTGAATTAATGCTTTCTAAGTGGGACTTATTGGAGGAAGCAGCTCCACTGCTCCCAGCCTCTACAATGAGGTAACTGTTGGTACAGGAGCTTTCACCCCTGGGATTCAGGAACATTTCCTTTAAGTACAGCTCTTAGATACCCAGAGATTTTCTTCGCTGAGCATTCAGAAATCAAGTAGGTGTTCCAAATGCAGGAAATTGGGCTTTCCATTACCAGGCTATGAATAAAAGCCCCATGGGAGTGGGAGAGATCAGCTCATCCCATGAATGGAGGGTTGATCCGGATTTCCAGAAAATTCATAAAATTCAAGTCATCGTGTACCACCCATCAGCAGACACTCAGGTTCACAGCCTCCCTGCCTTGATTGAAAACTTTCATGGAGATATTAAAAACCAAAAGAGACTGCAGAGAAAAATCTTAGAAGGCAAATGGATGATGGACCAACCTCGTTCCAGCCACGGCTCCATCGTTCTTTCCCAGGGGCTCATCCAGCTCCACTCCACACCACTCTCCTTTAGCAAAGTCTGTTTCTCCCAAAAAACGCACAACTCCAGCTTTTGTCCCACCAACCTAAAGCAGGAAAACACACCTGTATTTAATGCATTTCCAAATTCAAACACCAAATACAATGAAAAAGCTTCTGGCATAACCACGTGCACAAAGCACGTTAATCATGTGACCAGTTCTGATTTCAAAATGCAGATTTTTTAATTCGTGAGTTTGTTTTGATGTGGAACAAATACAGATCTTCACAACCAAAAAGAAGAAAAAATGAAATAAAAATCACTTTCTTAGCATTTCTGTCCAATTTGGTATTCAAAGTCTGTAATGACTGAAGGCCACAATTCCAGCAGGTGACTTGATATGTCTGTAAGACCAAAAATACATTAACAACACCCAGTATAACCTGAATACTGAACATACTGAACAGATATTTGTTTCAAACAAATTTCTATCAGCAGATAAGGATTTCTAAGAACTGCTTATTTCTTACTCAAATTCTCTGAGGAAAAGTAAAAGAAATGAAATGAGAAAAAAATCCTTTCATATTTTCTCTAAGGAATAATTCAGATAAAATACATAGAACAACCCTCTTGTATTTAAATCTGATATAAAGCACAATGTAGAGCACTTGGCAGAACTGGAGACATAACCACATGAATCCTTAAAAAGGGAACAATCATTTCCTTAATCTTTTCTTCACTTAAAAAAGAAAAAACAAAACAAAAAAACCCCCCAAACACTCCTAAGGGAAAGCCTAGAAATCAGCTGATTTCAAAGTTATAACCTGAAATATTTACAGCAATTCCAATGACTTGCAGTGTCTCTGAGCTACAGCTTTTTATAACACCCAGGGAGGGAAGAATTAAATGAAGTGAAGGAGGAAAAGGTGTTGTGTGGCCACCAGTTGCCAGGAAGGGCCAGCAGCCAGAACTGCAGGGCTCTTGCAGGTCACAGGGACCATATGTTGTGCCCTAAATTTGTGGAAATCTGTTCAGCCTGAATCCAGTATTGTGAAAACAAGGAAAATGTAATGAAAGCTCTTCAAGAGATTCCCAGCATTCCACGTGGAAAGCACAGCAATGGCACTGAAAATGTCCGTTTGTGGGTTCCAGCCCACGTTATCCAAAGAGGAATATTTTGTGGCCTCAGCAGAGAGCCTGGATGTGACCTGCTACCAAAATATACACTAAAAAGTGAACTAGGATTGCACATCATTTTTCCATAGACATTCTATTTCTGGGAGGAAATTCCCAGGATTAAAGGAGAACAACGAGCTTCTTGTGCTGTAAATTAAGGTGAGTGATCACAGCGCAGCAGAGAACTCACACGAATGAGTTTGGGAAGTCTGGCAGCTCTTTTTCCACACAAACCTCAGAAAAACAGGGAGAATAATTCTCCTTTTTTGATATTACTTCAGTGACAAAGGTGACAGAGGCATCTCTAGTCCCTGTTTAAGGTGGCAGCTCCTTCTGTCTCATTAGAGACAGTCTGGAAACAACCTTTAGCTCTTGCTTTAAGTGGCTCTGTAGCAAATTATTACTCTCCATGGAATAAAAACACACAAAGTTTACAGTTATCATGACTCAGCCTAATATAGTAACTAGTAGAACGTTTGGTATCTGGTGTTCTTGGCAGAGAACACACAAACTTCCCCTCTTGGAAAACAAGCACCAGAAAAAGAGAATTGTAACCAGCCCAAGAGCTCCACAGAATCCAGAGCTCTGTGGCACAGTGGTGAAGAAAGAATATATAATATTGTTAAAGGATTTCCTGGAAAGAACTAGTCCTTAAATTGAGGGATATGTTATTCCCCATCAGACATAATCTACTTTTTCTAGAGGATAAATACCATTATCCTAAGTATAAACATAAAAATAACATTTAGCTGAGTAGTGTGAGAGAAAAACATGGGTGTTCCAAGTTTTCCTTCTCCTTATTCCTTTTCTAGTAAGTTTAGGCAGTTTTTTATAATTTTTTTGTCTTGTTTTGTTAGATGTTTTTTCTCTATAGGTAAATTTGGAAGATATCTTTAGGTAAAAAGACTGGCTAGATGCTGTTTCCTGCTCAATTTTGTACAGTTTTCTGCCTGAAAAAAACAAAAGTTAAATCAAAATAAGCTCTAAAAAGCCATGAAAGAAATCAGACAGGAAAACCAGAACAATGGCCCAGACAAGGAGCATCCCCTTAAAGACAACAGTCAGGTTTGGGGTGACACAGAGGATTCCTCAGCTCCTTTTCCAGAACCCTTGAGCCAGGCCAAGGAATTTTATTGCTGTTTTGTGGAGTGCGTGTTCTGTGGTGATTTTTTGTAATAAACAACATAAATGAATTGCCTAAAGACACCCACTCAGCACCTTTCCATGGGCAGGGAAGAGGGGCAGGCAAGGTGAGAGCTTAGAGGAATAGGATCACTCCAAGCAAAGGCTCCCGGGGACAGGAAAAACTGCTGCAATCTGTTCCCTCCAAGCCACACTGTAAATAAACCTCCAGGCCAGGAATGCTGGCTCCAGGATAAGGCAGATTAAACATGGGTGCAGAATATTCATCCCTTTTGGTTTCATCCCTTGGCCCTGCTCATCTTCCACATTTAGTAATAAATGTCCAGTTAGTCTGAAGATATTCCATTCAAATCCCAAACTGGGAAACAGTCTGGAAGAATTCAGCACTGCCCAGTGCCTTTGGACCTGCTCCAGCCATCCCAGTGCCTGGATGTTGGAACTGTGACCCAAGGCCTGGTGGGAGTGAGCAAAAGCAGGGATTCATATCCCAGAACATATGGGGATGCACAACGGGAGCTCCCCGGGAGGAAGAGCAGAGTGACTCGTCCTGTCACCATGGTGCTGCCTTATTTTAGAACAAGATGCAAGGAAGAATGCCAAGGAATTTTTGGTTTTTTCCAGCATCTTGGAATAACCAGTTCCTCCATTTCTGCTTGCTTTCTGTGTGCCCTCACCAAGAGCATCAGCAAAGGGCTGTAAATGCAGTTTTGCTGAGTTTCAAGCCAAAGCCTTCAAAATTTCAGCTTTAAAACAAGTCAGCACCACTCTGGAAAGCCTGAGACTACTCAAGGCTTCCAATCATTCCCAGACATCTGCCCCAAACAGTGTATTTATTATTTATCTCCAGCTGCAATTAGTGCCCTGCATGTGACAACACAATAATCATAATTTATTCCCTTGGTAGGACAATGTGAGGTGCTACTGGACAACACAGGAGGGTAAAGGCTTCTCATGATCAAAGTTGCTGTAACATTAGTGCCATAAAGGGGAAAAAGATTATGACATGATTACACTGAACTGTTCCTAGCAATATGAAAAGAGAACTGTACTTACAGAATTGTAGTGTTTAATACAGAAACATTATTTAAAAATTATATAAGAATTATAGAAAAAAAGAAAGGTAAAAAACCCAACCTCGAACCAAAAACTGATCTACTTCCCATGAAGGACTAAAAATAAAAAGCCCAGTTTCTAAAAGAAAAGGGGAAAAAAAGTTTATTAGAAAGTTTCTAAAAGTTATAAAAAAATGGGACATCACTACCATGAAGACAGTTTTCCATGACCTTCATTCCTGTTAAGGCAGGTCAGATAAAGAACTGCCAGAGCTTTTTTTCAGTTGCCACACTCAATGCAGACAAGTTGTAAAATACAGATCAATAACACAGCAGAGAATCTGGGTTAGACCACAGGTCACTGTGGGGTGAGGAATCTGCTTGGAATTCACTAGTGTTACATCAAACACATAAAAAAAGTGATTAAATTCCATTTACCCAATTCTAACTAAACTGATACTAATTTGCTGCAAGGTAAAGTGAAGTAGCAAAATGGGTTTGTAAACCTGAAGTGGTTAAAAATTGCCTCATGAAAGGACACATCTAAGCTTGTGAAAACCTTTGCAGAGCCACATTTCCAAAGATAAGGAGAAGCAGGAAACAAATAAACCAGTGTAATCCAGGGAAAAAGAGAGGGATGGTCTAAAAAATGAGAGGGGTCATGGAAAAGAGGATTCACTGTCTGAACACTGGAAGTGTAACAATATCACTTACACCCTGAGAGAGGGAAAAGGTGAATAACAATTGTTCTGTCTCCCCTTCTGCCTGAGCAAGTGCTTGAGGTGACTCTTGGATATTTCTGCATTTCCAGGACCATTCAGCACCCACAACATGCTTGGAAAAGCAAAACCCATCCAGACCCACCACATGCTGCCTGGATCCACTAACCAGGTTCTCATCAGAATCCTCTCTCTCTTGTTTCTCAAAATTAAGCAGAACCTTTTCCAGTTGGCAAAAGAAATTGCATTTAATTGATTTGTTCACCCATTCAAGGTCAGAGGGAAGCACGGGATCATCTCCTGGGCTCTGCTGGAACAGGTCCTTCCATTCCACCTGTAATTAACCCTGTAACTGTGCTGAGCTCTGTGTGGGACTGTTTCCAGAGCTGATATCCATCAGGAAACACTTCCACTGACAGGATATTTTCATAGTTAATCTCTCCATTGTTGCAAACACATTTAAATTTTAAATAAAACAAATGTGACTGTGGCCTTCAGCCCCTGGCTCTCATTGTGCTTTGAGCTGGGAGATGACAGAGCTCCTCAGCAGGTACTCCCATGTTCTAAGCAGGGCACCTCAATTTTTCCCTTTGTAAATTAACAGCTTAAATTCTTCAAATCTTTTATTGCAAGATACTTTCTCTTGCCTGAGTCATTTTACAGCTCTGTTCTGAATTCTGGCCAATGTTTCCAAGGGGTTTTTTAAATAACTAAGGATGTAACTACACAGTTTTAAATATATCACTAAAGGCCAAATTAATTTTGAAGTTACTGTTAGGTAGTGTTCAAAATATTATAATAATAATAATAATAATAATAATAACAATAATAATAATCCCAGCATGGAGTGGCGTTTTCTCCATTAAATCTATAGTGCCAAAGAAAAAAGCAAATTGTGTTTGAGAAACCTGCCATGTTTTAGTTTGTCAACATCTGGTTGCTCTTTTAGTTTTTACCTGTTTTTTCTCTTTGAGATTAGACAGATACCAGACAGATATTTGCTTCAGATTATCCTA